TTTTTAAAATTTCTATTTTTTGCCCTCAATTGTTCTATGACAAAACTCCCATTTCTTTCCCTTGGTGTCTCAGGCAGATCTGAAGCATTGATTTAAAACTTCATTATCACATTGAATTTAAAGTTTACTTCCTCCTCACTTCTCCTGGCTTCAGCCCGAGGGATGTGGAAAGGACAGGATCAGGCTTCTCTGACACTCCTCCAAGTCATGTCCACTCATTTGAAGCACCTCTCAGCTTTCAGAGGAAGATTAATTACTTCAAACAAACAACAAAATTGAATGCTTGAAATTATACAGATAGAGGAACTAATTGGTATGGATAAATGAATCAACTGTTCAAATCTGTGATGACTTTTCTACTTTTGGTATTCTCTGGTACTTTTCTACTTTTGGTATTCTAATTGGTAAAAGGGCATGTGGACACTGGACATGAAAGGACATGAGCCAGTTACTGGTGCACGAAGGATTCTGCCCTGTCTGTATTCAACTTTCACCTTTCTGGGCCACATCATTCTCTCTCAAAGGTGTGTGGCTTCTCCAGGTTTCTAGATTAGCAAGAAGCATACTTAGGTCCTAGCCAGGTCACTTGGAGTCCTAATGAGTTTTATACATACCTTATTTGTGCAGTTGCCGCCATATTGTGCATCTTCAGTAGAATCTGAGAGTGAAACCATCATCTTTCTTTGCAACCTCAGCACCTATATATATTCCTTGCAGAAAATGTAGAAACCCAGAAAATGTTAAAATAAATTAGTATAAAGGTTGTGCACTAAACAATCAGAAACCGTGTACATCAACATTCTCTTAGGTGTCTCCCATGATACTCATTACTGAGCCCTAACCCTCAAGATGAAAATTAAATAGAAAAAAAAGCAGAAAGCAAAGCATGATGTCTCTCATGGTGTGGCTGACCAGGAATAGCAAGAGGATCATTGACAAATTTACTCATCAACCTTGATAGCCACTTGTCACTGAGAAGAAAATAATTCCTTAATAGTTTACTTCATTGCCCCATCCTCTGAAAAATTCACACCAAAAAAAAAAAAAAGTCCAGAACCTCAAAGGGAGGAATGGGAATAAAGATGTCACAAATAACCTTTATCTTCATTCATCTTTCTGATTTGTTCATCTTTGTTGTTTTCTTCTCTGAAACTACTAAAAACAAATATTGACATTGTAAAAACATTCATTATAATAAAAAAAGGAAAATTTGTTTTTTTTAAAAGAAGAAAACAATAATGACAGCCTTTTAAATGAATTTTTTAAAAACTAAGTACGTCTTCAATTCATATTTATAAAATAACTGGGTGTACAAAACAAAGTGGTCCAAGTACACTTTGCATGGTTGAAACATCCAAGAGCATATTAATTTGCTGCTCCTGGAAAGTCTAAGTGGAATCCAGTTAGCCAGACATCTACATGCCCACTGTGGAGCTTGTATAGGCACATATTTTTGAAATAAAAGGGAAGTGCCTTTGACACCTGCAAAACAATTTTTAGGTTGTAGGGAAGATACCACTGTGATGTTTGCTCATCTTGGGAAAAAAATTCTATTTTAAAGTGAGGGACCTAACTTTGAATGTGCATGTTGGTGTTTTCTCAACATTTTAGATTTGAGAGGGACTTCTAAGATGAGATGGTTGAAGGGCATCAGTTTGGTCCATACCATTTCCTCTGACTCCCACTTTGGTTCTCTTTCCCCAACACATAGCCTCTTCACTTATTGATGCCCTGAGCCCTCTGTCCCTCCCTGGTCTTCCTGTATGGGTGTAAAATTTCCAGCCATATAATTGTTATAGTTAGGTGCTTTAGAAATTTTGACAAGGAAACATTTTATGTAGAAATAAAAAAAAAACTTCAAGAAAGTAAAAACCCAATAAAATATCCCATTTTCTACATATACTATATGTAGCTGTGTGAATACATCACACAGCTATAGATACAGAATCTCTCCCATTAGAGAGGAACATGCCTAGAGCTGTGGTTCACAGATTGTGTACCAGGGTTCCCAGGGTACTGGAACTAATTCATGTTCACACATGGAATATTTTAAAATTTCAAAGAAAATACAGAGGCATCTCTCTGACGGTATGTAAACTATCATATTTAAGTTGTTTGAACTTTACTACTTAATAACAATGAGTGGTTGGATATTTCTTTTATCCCAAGGGTCCTATAAAAAATTATTGGGCCACCAGTGCTGTTCCAAGAATGTTTGGGAACTTTCAGATTAGTCTAGCATATATTTGTTTTAAATATTATGGTGACCTTTTCTTTAAC